AAATGAGTAAATTTGACCAAAGTTTGAGGAGCTACCACGTGAACGAAAATCGTTTGCCCAAAGATATTTTTATACCATTAGAAAGATAAACATATAAGTAATCGAGCATGGACGTTTCAAGCGACTGACAAGTTAAGCAGTTTTAAAATTCATATTTTTGTACGACATACTTTGAACGACTCGAAATATATGTCTAGCGAATAAAATTATATTGTTGTGTTATAACTGAACAATTGATCTTAAAGTCACACATGTTGTGCACAATGGAATATTTTCAAATTATTTGGGGTGTTTGAACCTCTAGCGTTTCTTAATTTTCGACCATCTGCCGCGAAGGTTGAGTAATAATTAACTGTCGTAATCGGCGTTTTTTGGTAGTGTTTGATAATTTAAATTTTCTCCGTTATAAAGCGTTATTTCATCAAACCAACTATAAGGCAATTCTTGGGATACATTACCCTCGCTAACTTGATAGTATAAGGGAAATCGATTTTTCAAGGTTTGCCGCGGATTGCTCGATGGTAACTGACAGTCACTCTTAAGTACTAAGTTGTTGATCAAATCCCAGGTTTCTTTGCTGTTTTTGGTGTTTTCCAAATTCGTTTTGAGTTTTAGCACTTTTATTTCGCTCTGTTACTTGATTCCTGCATTTTTTGTATGAGTTGTAAAAAGCAGGGGAGTTAAATTTTACTGCCATTTTTTTAAGGTAATCTCTATGGAAACTTAACTTTTGGAGCTCATCCGTCATCCACGGGCGCCCTTTACCCTTTTCGATCGCGATGGTGCATGAATATCAGCGATTTGCAGAAATATTGCGTTCCAATCGTGTAATGCTATGTTGGGGTCCGTGTAATCCTTAAAATGTATGAATGCTAGCCTTAAGTCATTTTGAAATTCATCGACCTTGAGTTTATTAAATTGTTTTGTTTCAATGATTGTAGGTTTTCCTTTTGGGATTCCGACTTTTCTGCTAATATATACGAGGTTATGGTCGCTTATGCCAAGATTGATAACGCCCGAAGCTATGGTCTTTAAGTCGCTAGTTTTATTAATTATCAATTCTAATAATGTTTTAGTTGTTTCTGTTATTCTTGTTGGTTTATCTATTATTTGTTGTAATTGATATGTAGTTAGTAATTCAAGAAGCCGTCTTTTAATGCTACTCTGGTTTTCCTTTGGTAGTAGATTTATATTAAAGTCTCCCGTTATGACAGTTTCTATGTTCTCGTTGTCAACGTTTTGGAGAAAGAATTCGAATCTATCTAGCATTATCTAGAATTAAAGATTTTCTTTCTGAGTATGATATAATATCACGTATATAGATAGCTACACCACCTCCATGTCTATTTCTATCATGTCTAACTTGGTCATATCCGTGTATTTCAACTTCTGGATTTTTTATTGTTTGGCAAAGCCTTGTCTCATTGATGCACAATACATCGAAGGATGTCTTGTTTATAAAAATTCTAAGTTCTTTTACATGCTTAATTAAGCTTGCAATATTTAATTATCCATTATTATATAAGTGTGATATAACAGTCTATTTCATTGGCTAATGCGCGTGCATTGTGACTCAATAATGCACTGTGATCTGTGGCACTGCTTTGCTCTTTCTCTGTTTTTTCCCCTCTTCATCACTGCTTCTTATCCAAAATTATACACAAAATTATAGAGCTTTTAAAATACAAAATTTACCAGAAAGAAAGAAGGAATAAACCAAAGAAACAAAGCAATTTTCTATACAGGATGTATAAAAAAAAAGGTAATCGAACTTCAGCGCACTATTGTATCTGAATTACTCTGCGTATGAACGAGATTTTTTAACAATCGGAAAGATCATGCTTTTAGCTGTTGAATGATATCATCATATGTGCTTTCAGTCATGGAGAACAGTCGTGTCAATTTGAGCTCCGCAAATTCAAGCAAAATCTGGCAAATTCATTGTTGGATTTTATGAGTGAAAGTGTTAAGATACCTACAAATAGTGTGGAAAGTAAAGTACTTTCATCTCTTGTTTTTATTGACGAAAGCGGTTACTGCTGGAAAGGCAATTTAGCTCAATTAAAGAATTTCGTACAAAGTGACTTAAAGTTAATTGGCAAATGGTCATCGCCTGGCAGTGAAACGAAGTTATTTAAGAACACGGAGATTATCCTTAAATGGACTGGGCAAACTCGAAAGAAGCTGATAATTGAAAAAGACAGCGAAGTAAATCTCGTAGCGAACACGCTAAAACGTTTATGCAATGGTAATGTGTTTTGCTTAGATACAGCAACGGCGTGTAAAGAGTCGATTGATGACAAAGCTAAGCAATCTGTAGCGGCTGACTCTGAATTTTCAACTATATGGGTGGCAATAAATGGGATTCAAGACGTGGGGACGGCCAAATTGGAAGAAGTAACATTAGCCCACGACAACAAACTTATAAGAATAGAAGCTGAGGTATGTAAAGTACGATCTAATTACGAAAGGAAAATTGAAAATTTGAATAATAAATGTCATGAATTATTGCTTAAACTTGAATGTAAGAAGGCGCTTGAAGATAAAGTAAATAAACTTGAAGTTTTGGTTGGCAATCTTAAAGCCGATATACAGGATCTACGAAATGAGAATGGTTTGTTCAAATTGAAGCCACGGTTGTTTAAAAACTCCACGCCTAAAGTACAACAAAAAAACACCGGGAACAATGACCTAGATTTAATTGGTACAATTAACATTCCTGATGAACCGATAACTATTGTTGATAAACAACCCCAGGATTTAAATAAAAATTTAGAGTTAAACACCTCTCTCTCAGTTAGCAATAAGACTTCTCGGGCCGACAAAGGATCGGTGTATAATCCTCAGATGAATTCAGTTATTGAATGTATTGAGGCAAGAAATCAACCTAGAAGCAATCCACCGAGAGGGCCACGTACGAGCAATGTTTCCAAACGTAATTCCGCTATTCCCAGCCATCCTTTGCCCAAGCACTTGGTACCTTGCCCATTTCTAAGACGGAGAAGCTTTTGCCTAAAGGGTCCCTTGTGTGACTTCCAGCACAAAGATTCTCAATCGTCTAATAATCCAACCAATAATTCGTCGAATAACCCGTTCTATTGTTCGTCCAATAATCGACCAAGAGTGTCCAATAACCTACAGCGATACCCTCATAACTTGGGCTATACATCTTATCCAAATATATCACAACCTATTACTAATCATTTTCCTTTTCCTGTGAATCCAAGCCATTTCCCCCCGTTTCAACCCCCACAGTATCATCCAATGCTTCGACCATATGTATACCCACCACCTCTGTTGACATCAATATAACCCCTTTACGGCCCCCTGTCGTGTCCCCCTTAGCACCACCTACAATAACGTTTACTAGCATGCCTTTGAGTGTTCTAAATCGTCCTCGAAAAGTGAAAAGCAACATTTCAAATCAAAATCATTGTGTAAATAGAAATAATCTGATACACATTCAAACCTGTCCAAACGATCAGATATCAGTTCCCTCTAGTCTCAACATTGTTCACTTAAACATTCGCTCGTTAAGAAATATCGTTCACCTTACTGAGGTCAAGGAACTAGTAAAGTTAAATAATATCGATGTCCTCACAATTTCCGAATCGTGGTTAAATTCCTCAGTAACGAACCGTGAGATTGCAATCGACGATTATAAGATCCACAGACTTGACCGGTTACACAAGAAAGGTGGAGGTGTCTGTGCTTATATTAAGAAGAATATTAAAGCAACTGTCTTAAAAGATTTATCGAAGGTGTCAGTCTCTAACTTTCATCAACTATGGATAAATCTACAATGCCAAAAAAACAAATCAATAATAATTTGTGTAACCTACCGACCACCTGACACTTCTCTAAATTGTTTCGAAGATTTGCTTAAGCCAAATTATGTTCAGGCTTTAACTTTGAATAAACAGATTTTAGTGCTCGGTGACTTAAATTGTAACATGCTAGAAAACGGCCAGGAGCGGAGAGTGCTAACAAATTTTTCTACAGAATTAAATCTCACACAGATTATTAAAACTCCAACTAGAATCACGGCGACGTCCCAAACGCTTATTGATGTTATTCTAGTCTCATCCACAGCACTTGTTCGTGAGAGTGGTGTTATTAACACTTCTATCAGTGACCACTTACCAGTGTACGTCCTACTAAAGTTAAAGGCCCCAAAGATGCCAGCATGTTACATTACAACTAGGAGTTATAAAAACTATAATCCCTCACTATTTTCCTCTGACCTTGTCACTAAATCGGATCGTCTGTTATCCATATTATCCAACCCCAACGTCAATACAATACTCGAAACCTTCAAAGATGTTCTTCACTCAACTCTCGACGTGCATGCACCGTTAAAAACCTTCAAAATTCGAAATCGATCATGTCCATATGTCACCAATGAAATAAAAGAACTCATGAAGTCTCGGGACCTACACCTCCGTCGGTTTCAACTGACACGTGATGAAGGTGATTGGGTAGTTTACAAAGAATATCGTAATAACGTAAAAACCAAAATTAAAGCCGCAGCGAAGGACCATACCTTCAACGAAGTAAGAGAACATAAACACAATTCGAGATCCCTATGGAAAATAATTAATAACATAATTCCCTTGAAGGAAAAGGAAACACAAGTTTATAGTAAAGATCCAAAAACAGTTGCAGAAGATTTCAACCTTTTTTTACTTCTGTGGGACGGAACGCTGCTGCGACAGCCGAAAGTTTAGCCAAAGACAACAATGTTGCACTGTCAAATCCTCTGTCAAATGTCATCACTTATCCATCTGATCAACTGTTCAATTTCCAATCCGTTACTTGTACAGAGGTTCAACGCATTATCATGCCTATGCCAAGTAATAAGTCACCAGGACCAGATAAAATAGGCATGCGTGCCATCAAAGACTGTCTTCCAATCATACTGGGTCCTCTTACGCATATGATAAATTGCCATATGATAAATTGCCATTATCCTATGATAATGACAAGCACATTCCCTGACCTATGAAAGATTTATGAAGTTATACCCCTACTAAAAGAAGGAGACCACGAGATAGCCTCAAACAATCGGCCTCTCTCACTACTCGAGGTAGTTTCAAAAGTTTGTGAAAAAGTTGTTCTAAATCAATTTAGCTCCTACCTCAAAGAATTTAATCGCATATCGTCACATCAAAGCGGGAATAGGAGTCTTCACCCCACCGAAACCTTAAACATATTTGTTACCGATACGATGTTGGAAGCCATAGACAACAAAAATCTAACGGCACTAATTTTATTGGATTTATCCAAGGCATTTGACAGTGTCAGTCATTCGATTTTATTACACAAATTGAGTTGTATCGGTGCTTCACCCGAAGCTGTTAAATGGTTCCAAGACTATTTAACAGGCAGATCCCAATACGTGCGCATTGGATCCACCAAGTCATCAGCTCGCCCGATAACCCATGGCGTTCCACAAGGTGCAATACTATCACCACTTCTGTTTTGCATCTATATTAATGATCTGCCAGGGAGCATACAATCGTGTAACCTTGATTCATACGTAGACGACTCAAAGCTTTACAAATCATTCTGCATCTACGACTTGGAACAGACAACTATCAATTTAGAGGCAGATCTACAAATAGCAGCCAAGTGGTGTTTGGAGCACCAATTACTGATCAATCCAGAAAAAACTAAATTCCTTGTAGTCGGTTCAAGACCCATGCTGCAGAACGTACCTACAGAAATATCGCTAACATTTTTAGGAAAGACTATAAGACCTGTTTTATTAGCTAAAGATTTGGGAATCAATTTGAATTCGTACCTATCCTACGACGACCACATATCTAAACTCGTTTTGTCGTGTATGAGAAAACTATGTCAAATAAATCGCGTGAAGGATAGTTTCGATAATGAAACATTAAAATTGGTCATTGAGACACTTGTAATTAACAAGCTTCTGTACTGCTCTACGGTGTGGACCAACACGTCATCTAACAATATCAATAAACTTCAATCAGTGCAGAACTTCGCGTGCAGAGTTATATCAGGGGTAGGAAAGTTCGATCACATAACTCCGGCGTTGCGCGAACTAAATTGGTTGCCAGTGGAAAAGTTATTATTGGAAAGGGATACTGTAATGGCTTACAAGTGTTTTAATGGACTTGCACCTGACTACCTAGTAGATAAATTTATAAAGCGTTCCGACATACATGATCGATCGACAAGAAATCATGACCTCTTGGACATCCCTCTGTATAAATCTGCTGCAGGTCAAAGAACATTTAATTACCGGGGTGTTAAAATATGGAATGACTTGGATGATAAACTAAAAAATATTACATCAATAACAATTTTTAAGAAAAAACTTAGGGAGATTTTACTAAAAGAATCCTATTAAATACATTTAATATTTCATACTCTTTGTACATATTTTAACTAATTTTAAATAAGTATATGTAACATAGGTAGTTTTAGAAGTAATTTATAGTAATTTTAATATGTAATGTAGTGTTGAAAAGCCCTTAGGGGAACACGTAATAAAGTATCTATCTATCTATCTATATGGATTTCATCCTAAATAGTCTATTCCTGACATGGAGTCAAGTTTAAGCAAAGATTTGCGGTTTGATACCTGAAGAGATTCAAAGATATTCTATTACTGAGTGCTTAATTGACTAAGCATTGAGCTATTGTACTACAGCATAATATGTCTACATTATTTCAAGCAACACTATTTCTCAATTTTGACCGATGCATTCGCATCGTTGGCGTCGGTCTGGATCCGCCCCTGGTGATGTTCCAGGATCCCGAAACAAAGTTCGGCTGGTTGTTATAAAATTCTTCATATGGAAGCTAAATGGTTAAAATACGGTCAGTAGACTCAGTGCAGTTAAACACAAGCATACACGTATCTAAGCTTAAGGGTAACATGGTACTTAAAGTATGCGTTTGTTCCAAAGAAATAGAAGAAAATAGTGATTTCGTACTGTAGTTTTAACTTCGCGCCAAACGATATCCGCGCGGTCAATTCCCGCCATCGGCGAAAAAATATAGCAAAAGTATCCCCCCTCCCATTTTCAAACCGCGATTACTATTCAATTTCGTCGAGCTACTTTGAGTTTTAAAGTACTAATGGAAAGAATAAACTTTCATTATTTCGATGACGTGTTTTATTTTAATTTCCCCTCAAAAAAATGAAAGCCACTTTTGTGGCGTGTCCACAGACCCGAATCAAGCATAAATACAATACGTAATTAGCATCACTAAAAAGCAATCCCTGTACCAAACAAGTCAAAAATAGTTTAATTAGGTTCTTAAATAATACAAATATAAAAACATACCTCCGAAAAAATGACATCTTCAAAGATAAAAATCGCAATATATTTCAACAACTTTTGACTAAACGTTTGTCAAAAATCGCAATTGTGAGTAATAATAATTGTGAGTAATAATGCTGGTATAGTCACGCAACCTTCCCTGCCCTAGAACATAGTTAACTTTAACTACTTTTGAACTACAATTATTGCTAACTACATTTTTATAAAACAGACGTAAATACGCGTTTAAAGTTAACCGCACTATTTAACTACAAAACGGGTAGTTAAAAAGTAGTTAAGAGCTTTATATACAACCGGCCCAGTATGTTACCGCGCTAGGAGGGCCCAAAACCTGAACATAACCATCTTCATCACTTCTACGCTTGTTAAAATTTAGTGCGGAACAGTTAATTAAAATAATCACAGTCATCCGCGATGCTTTGCGCGCTAAAATGTTTTGATTGTTTTGTATTCCGCAATTTTATTAGCCACTTTAGTGACGAAAGATTGATATCCGAAGCGTATCCTTATCAATCTGCATTATTCTTAGACGCTGTCCTATTTTTCATAGTTGGAATATGTTAATAGGCGTGTGTTTTTATCTTAACCAATGATTTTAGAAACTTTTCTCATTTTGTAAAGTAGATGGCTAATCATGGCTTCTGCATTTCCCGTTCGTGGAAGACCAACAAGTCCTTCGTATATCAAAAAGAATATCGTTGACAAGTTCAACGATACTTGAACAATCGTCCTTTGGTCGGAATGGAAAGAAAGCCTGGGAATATGGGGGTTTTCGCATAGCGAGTTCGCCGAAATCCTGCTCCATCAAAGCATGGACGAACTGCGTGAACGTAGCAGGCGATGGGGCAGGAATCAGGATTTCATCAAAACACCAGCGGGTAAATGTATTAAAGTTTTATTGCTTATAATAAAGCTAATGCATATAATTTTTAGCGCCTGACTATTTTCGAAGACAACACTATTTTTAGCTCCCCGTCTTTTGTAAACATTCACATAGCGCGCGAAGCATCACGGTTGACCGTGATTCTTTAAAGATTTGTACAAGTGCTCACACGCAACGGATAGAACGACCAGATAAACAATTTATTTAAATTTTATATCGTTATAAATTAATATCCACATACCCAACTGCTCTCTTCTTCCTGCGGCTAAAATGAGAATGAGAAATGTTAGAAAGGCAAATAAACAACTATGGTATAGCACAATATCGGTCATGTGGTTAGAATTGAAGCATGCTCAAGCAGAATTGACTCTCCGAGATAAAAGATGGCAATAGACGATGTGTGGAGAAAAGACGGATATGCTGAAAGCTAACTTGAAGAAATCTGAATCAATATGAGGGAGCAGGATGATAAAGGACCTGTTCATGAGACAACATCATCAATTGAATATGCTTCGTGAACTTGAATCTATTGATTGGAACACGATAATTATGAACAGTCATAACCTAGATGAGATAACCTTAAAATGTTATGAAATAATATGGCCAAAATTTGATAAGAGCTTCCCATTAATTAAGGTCAGAACGTCATCACGCGACCCTCCGTTCATGTCTCCTATTGTGAACTACCTTCTGAATCAAAGGAAAAGAGCCATACAAAGCGGAAATACTGAAGCAAATACACGATTGCAAGAAAAAATCAACAAGTTAATTCGGGAAAATCAATTAAGTGCAGTCAAACAGGAGTTTGGCAACCAGAAAACTGGATCGAAAAGTTGGTGGTCTAACGAAAACAGCATTACCTCGAGAAAAAAGAAACAAGATGTATCTGTAAGTGCTTCTCTCAACCCTCGTGAATTTAACAAATATTTTCAAAGTGTGAATTCGGACCCAAATTATACGACTCCCGAGCCTCTTCAAATCTCCGAAGGAACAAGAATCCCTTCGTTGTCAATTCATGAAGTTCAACATCTTTTACTGAATCAAAAACGCTCTTCATCGGGTCCGGACAATCTGCCATATTGGTTTTGGAAATCGTTTGCTATTGAATTAGCTCTTATTGTCACAGAAATTTTTAACATGTCACTAAAAACCAGCAAAGTACCTCAGAAATGGAAATCCGCTAATTTATTACCACCCCTAAAGAATCGCCATTAAATTAGTGCAACCAGTTAAGACCAATCTCTCTCACGGACATCATCATGAGACTATTCGAGAAATGCGTGTATAAATCTGAAATCGCACCTATCACAAGAAATAACATTGGTCCTGACCAATTTGCTTATAAAAAGGGTCACTGGATAATTAGCTTTCTAGAAAATAGAATACAAAGAGTAATGGTTGATGGAATTGTTACAGAATATTTATATATTAATCGTGGTGTTCCTCATGATATTAAAACTGCTGATCCTAGTAATGCGTTAGTCAAATTTGCTGACGATTTGACGTTAGGAGTGCCTGGCAACGAAAGTGGTGACACATCTCGATCTGAAGCTGCCTGTTTACAGGATTGGGCGGAAGAGAATAGAATGCCCTTAAATTTGGAAAAAACGTACGAAATGGTTGTTCGCAGACACACCTCTGTAGCTTTGCCCCAACTTATCCCTTCAATTAAGCGAAAAACATGGCTAAAGCTTTTAGGAGTTACTCTACAAGATAACCCGTGCAATTGGGATTTGCACTTTGAAGAAATGCTCAAAAAAGCAAGTGGACGAATGTACATTATGAGAGTTTGCAAATAATATGGACTATCAATTAAACAATTAGATCTGCTGTTTGATAGCCTAATTATGTCGATATTCACTTTTGCTATTGAGCTGTGGGGTTGTGCATACGACGGTAAATATTTGAACCAAATAGATAAATTTATTAAACGTGCACATAAGAATGGTTATATATCAAAACGAACACACATTAAAGAAATACGTGATAAGAGAGATAAGAAACTGTGGAACAAAATAACATCAACTGAGGACAATGCATTGCTTGAACTGCTGCCGGAAAAAAGAAGTAGGTTACTTAGGCCTAGAGGGCATGAGTATGAACTCCCCCTAGTGAGAACAGAAAGATTCAAAAGGTCGTTCATAAATCGTTGTCTGTATAACTTTGTTTAGACTTTAATCTCTTAAAAACTTTTTAAAACTTTTTACGCTTCTTAACTGACAATTGTAAATATAACTAGATCAATTACCTTTCGATTGTAAACTCAGACGGATGTATCTGAGTATTTTAATAAAGACTATTATTATTATTATTATTATTATAACACGAACGAGTCATCATGTTTAGAAATGCTTGAACCTAACGTAGTGATATGACTGGACAAGACCAGAAATGATTTGTTTAAAATTGAAATGATTCACTTGATTGTGTATTCATTCGTCTATTATTGCGCTGACTCATATAGTTCAAGTGAAATGTTTTGGCATATTTTGCAATGACTTAGCAGGTCGTATACAAGTGACACGTTCGGTTGGCAAATAATTCATGCTTTTTTAGAACCATCCGCTGTGTTTTAAAATAGCTCAACTAAATACGAAATGATTCAACTAGATGGGACGTGATTCAACCTTATGTGGAATAAATAAACTAAATGTGAAACGACTCAATGAAATGTGAAATCACTCAGTTAAATGCGACATCGTTCAACTAGATGTGACACGATTCAATACCATGTGAAATCACTCAACTAAATGTGAAATCATTCAACTAAATGTGAAATGATTCAACAAGATGTGAAATGATTCAACAAGATGTGAAATGATTCAACAAGATATGAAATGATTCAACTAAATGTGAAATGATTCAACTAAATGTGAAATGATTCGCGTCCACGTGAACTGACACGACATGTTTTGAACTGACGTAATTTGTGCGGTCGTGGCACGTCTTGTTGTGAAGTGATTCATCAAGTTGTGAAGTGAATCAACAAGATGCTTCCGTCTTATTGATTAAACTTCCTTCGAAGAAAATTTACGGAAATCACAATGAAATTTGTGGGAATAAAATTTACATATGGAAATTCACCGCCCGAAATGAAAATTAACTATCGATCAAAGTCCTTTCCTCGACTCGCAATTCATCGTTCGCAAATAGCAATTTTATATCGCGACATTTCCCAAGCTTTTGTGTGCGTTTTGACGGAAAAAATATTTCTCCCCGAAGATCTCACTATAAAGATATGTGTTTAAAGATTTATAATCTGTTTTAACCTATATTCCCTCGATTTTTTCTGTGTTGTTGTTAATGTACTCAGGTGAATATGATGCTTGTGATGCTACTCTGAGTGTATATCCACACCGGGCAAGCTTGAAAAATATGCCTGACCACGGTGGGAATCGAACCTATGACCTTTGGAATACTAGCCCAGTGCTCTGCCAACTGAGCTACGCGGTTCAATTAGGTTTGATTCCCACCGTGGTTAGGCATATTTTTCAAGCTTGCCCGTTGTGAATATACACTCAGACCCCGTTCACATGATACCGGCATGGAATTCTGCCGGCAGAAAATCATCACGGTTTCAACTGTTTACACGATACTGGTGTCCCAGGAAATTCTCCACCCCCCAAACTTTGCCCCCCCCCACAAATTTTCTAGGAAATATGCCCCCTTTTCGGAAATTTGGCCCCCTCGAAAACATAGTTTATTTTATTGCTATATAAGCTCGGAAATCGTGAAGCTTCTTCTAAAACCAAGATCCTAAAAGTGTTTGTCAGTATTTATAGTTAGTTTGCATAATTTATTTGTGTCGAAATCCTTCATTGCGGCCAAGAACTAAAAGTTTGAAGGAAAGCGTAATAATAATAATGTGCTAGTGCCGTGATGCCAGACACATCACACATGGGTATCTGTTGAGGACAACGTTAATGCCTAATGGCTTAGCTTTAACTAAGGACACGAAACGATTTTTGGACGTTTGTCAGTTCGAAAAACAAAATCAAATGAGTGGTTATTTCGTAAAAAAACTTTTTTAATCTATGCATTTTACTTACATATACACAATATATATAATCGCTGATCGCTCATATGGTTGCGACGCATTACAGAAGCATTCCGTAAAAACGGAAGTAGACTGCATGCTTCACGGCTCACAAAAACATTCACACAGAAAATCAAGGTTTGAATGACTAACAAAACATTCCGCAAACTTTGGATGACTCACAAAAACATTTCGCAAACACGCAAAAAAAACAAAGGTTACATGCAGCAGCTACATAAAATCCGTCAGTGTGGTAGGCCTAAGCAATTCTCTTGGCCTAATTCTCGTCAGTATTGCAATTCAGTGGAGAATTTTGTTTTGACACAAAAAATATACGCAAACTAACTATAAATGTTGGGAAAAATTTCTAGAAATTTGGTTTTAGTAGAAGCTTTGCGATTTCCGAGCCAAAAGATAAAGTAAACTATAATTTTTTAGAGGGGGGGGGGCAAATTTCCGAAGGGAGGGCCATATTTCCTACGAAATTTGGCCCGGGGAGGCCAAAAATCAGTTAAAATAAAAAGAATAAAATATCCAACAACAACTTTCAGTTTTGTTAATTTCATTTTGCATGACCGTAATGAAATTCTTACGGTTAGGCGTTCACACGGCACTTTGATGGTAGAATTTCGTTCCGTTTTCAAACTCTTACGGTTAGCGTTACCGTTTCACAGTTTTTCATACCGGTATTGTGTGAACGCAACCCCTAAACGTAAGAATTTCGTACCGTTTCCAAACTTTGCCGGTATCGTGTGAAAGTGTGAACGGGGTCTCAGAGTAGCATCACAAGCATCATATTCACCCGAGTACATTAACAACAAGTCAACAACACAGAAAATATCGAGGGAATATAGGTTAAAAACAGATTATAAATCTTTAAACACATATCTTTAGAGTGAGATCTTCGAGGAGAAATATTTTTTCCGTCAAAACGCACACAAAAGCTTGGGAAATGTCGTGATATGAAATTGCTATTTGCGAACGTTGAATTGCGAGTCGAGGAAAGGACTTTGATCGATAGTTAGGCCTAATTTTCATTTCGGGCGGTGAATTTCCATATGTAAATTTTATTCTCACAAATTTCATTGTGATTTCCGTAAATTTTCTTCGAAGGAAGTTTAATCAATAAGACGGAAGCATCTTGTTGATTCACTTCACAACTTGATGAATCACTTCACAACAAGACGTGCCAAGACCGCACAAATTACGTCAGTTCAAAACATGTCATGTCAGTTCACGTGGACGCGAATCATTTCACATTTAGTTGAATCATTTCACATTTAGTTGAATCATTTCATATCTTGTTGAATCATTTCACATCTTGTTGAATCATTTCACATCTTGTTGAATCATTTCACATTTAGTTGAATGATTTCACTAGTTAGTCTAGTTGAACGATGTCGCATTTAACTGAGTGATTTCACATTTCATTGAGTCGTTTCACATTTAGTTTATTTATTCCACATAAGGTTGAATCACGTCCCATCTAGTTGAATCATTTCGTATTTAGTTGAGCTATTTTAAAACACAGCGGATGGTTCTAAAAAAGCATGAATTATTTGCCAACCGAACGTGTCACTTGTATACGACCTGCTAAGTCATTGCAAAATATGCCAAAATATTTCACTTGAACTATATGAATCAGCGCAATAATAGACGAATGAATACACAATCAAGTGAATCGTTTCAATTTTAAACAAATCATTTCTGGTCTTGTCCAGTCATATCACTACGTTAGGTTCAAGCATTTCTAAACATGATGACTCGTTCGTGTTTGTAATGAATGATTTCTGTTTATGTCCATTCATTTCACACGTGTAGTATTTTTGGTGGTAACGGCCGCCCATATTAGAACAACAGTAGGAGACTAGGAAAATCAATTAGTACGAATTTTGATTTATATAATAAAGTTATCCTGTAATTTGTGCACTGTTGCATGTAACATCGAGCACGGAGCACTGCAATGTATACAATGGTTGTACTTCGACATGTGCATGGTTTTATACTCTAGCTCCTAGTTATAATTATAGTGGCTATCAAACGAAAAATATACGTGAGGTTATGAGCGATTTGCAACTCTCATCTATTAAATTTTCCAGACCTGTATATACAATAAACAATAAACAATAAAACAATGATTACATCGTACATACCATGCATAGATCTTTTGTTGTTGTTGTTGTTTGTTTGCAGAACCTAAAACAACGATGTAGTGCGCCATTTGTTTAATATTGTATTATTTTGTTTTTAATTTTAAAATAATTTAGAAATTGGAATTCCTACCATTTATATACGATATACTTCATGTAATTTAAACATTACGGCATTATGCAGACAGTTTCCGAATGCGTGACGATACTGTTTCTGGATACTGGGATATGATCATAGGATATGATATAGATATCAAAAGTTTTATAAAACATGTTTGTAGCATGAAGAAAGCACGAGATTGAAACAGTTTAAATAAAATGCAAGCTAGATAAAGAAGTTTTGACATGATACAAAACAAGACAATTTCACTTACAAGGGCCGGTGACAAGGTAATTTATAGGATTACAGCTTATTCAGTTATACTGTATAAATACATAATTGTGTGTTTCTCAAGATTGTGGTTTTTTTAGGAAATCAAATATTTATTATATTTTGCAATTTTAACTCGAGATAAATTAATGATATTAAAATTTAATTAAGCCATGTGTAGTGCATGCCCCTTCAGTAGAGTATATTAACTGTTTACAATATTTGTGGTGTATAATGTAGCCATAAATGACCACATGACCCCACAAGATGAACCCCAATGGCTTCTAAATAGAGAATGGATGAAATGTTCATGAATATTGAGCTTTATATGTGAATCAGGTTAAATACAATAATTAATTAACCTAGCTTTATATTACTAATGTACATAGATGTTCTAATAATTGTATTTTGCTTCATACAATGCATATGTGTGTGGAAACATTACATTATTATTTAGCTCACTCCCCATATTGGGGCTTTTCAGTGACCGATTACATCAAGTACTATGATTACTTATGTTAGTCTAGACTATTTATCTTTACAACAATGAGAATATGACATTACTTTCCTAACTGTGTTTATATCCTAACCCACCCTGCCAATTTTGCCTTGTGG